TCTTAGAAGAGGCTAGATGCTTTGTTTATATTTGCTTGGCAGGACTTTCATTTCACTATTTAGCAGTAAACCTCTACTCTGGAAAAAAAAAAAAAAAAACAAACAAACCCAAGTTCCTACAGAGGGATAGAGTGGAAGGACTTGCAGATGACCCCGGCACTGAGGGGAGCCACTGCTGTATAGTTGAGCCATGCCCGACCCAGTACAGCCCGGTGGCAGTCAGGGCTTCACCGATTTTCAGGGGTGGTCCTCCACACCAGGTTGCTCGCTTTCCCTCTCCAGGCCTCAATTTGTTCACTATTAAGGAGGACTACTTGTTACACATGGTTGTTGCATAAACATTTGAGATTACCTGTGTGTTGTGAACACAGGCCCCTGGGAAAGCATCACAAAAATTCAAGGAATAATTATTATGCCACCATGGCTCTGCTGTGGATACTGTGCACATCTCTGCATTTGAAGAAATAAAAAACAAAACAAGGGAACCCATCCCTTCCAGGCCCCCACCCCACAAATGTTCAGTCATGTTCTATTACCTACCTAGATGCAATGCTAGAAGCTGCTTATTTAAAAGATAAATTGGACAGGTGTGGCTTTTTCTTAGGTCATGTGGAGCCCTGAACATTGAGAAAGAGAAATGAAGAGGGGTTCTCTTCAGCCCAGTGAGAAAAGCCCTAACATAGTTACAGGACTTGAACCACAAAGAAAGTCCTGGACTGAACTTCCTTTGTGTGGGAGACATGCCGACTTTAAAGAGCCTGTGTCTTTACCAATATGTATTCCATGGATGTTAAGTTTTGTGCACTGTTTGGGGTCAGGGTCAGGGTGGTGGGCGTTGTGTTCACAAACCCTGGAAGAGATGTTCTCTTGGGGTCTTTCTTTATAAGGAAAACTGAGAATCCTAGCACCTTGGGTGGCCCAGTGGTTGAGCATCTGCATTAGGCTCAATCATAATCTTGGGATCCTGGGATGAAGTCCCATATGGGGCTCCCTTCAAGGAGCCTACTTCTCCCTCTGCCTTTGTCTCTGCCTCTCTCTCTTTGTCTCTCATGAATAAATAAATAAAATCTTAAAAGAGAAAGAGAGAGAAACCAGGAATCCATGTTTAGCATTTATATGGGATTAGAATGTAAAAGAAGAGGAAGCACCTTTCCAAATGAGTTCTTTCAGAAGCCGTATCATGAGCAAATTGGAAGTTTTGAGAGAAAAAAAGGAATGATATATTTTCCTTAAAATCTTTGAAGTCCTAACAATGTAAGTGCTTTGAAAGTAGGACCTCTACTTGTAACATAAGCGCTAAGGGTAGAATCTGAATTGTTGGCAGAGAACAGATGTGGCCTTCTTGCTGCCTTTGTTGACATTAAAAAGGGAGCAGATATACTAGGCCCAGACAATGATAAGTCCTGTCCATTCCCCGAGAGTCTACCCTAAGACTGGGAGTGGGAATTATCAGATTTTCCTTAATAGTTGTTGATTTAAATTAAAACAACTAATGCCATTAATACTACAGGTAATATTTCATATATTTCTCCACTTCCTCCATGGGAAGCAATGTTTGGTTGGAAAAAAATGCATGGCAATTGGAGTCAGATGACAGCCTATTTTGAGCTCAAGTTCTCTCCTTATTGCAAGTCTAGAAAACAAGATGTAGGTCATTTTTCCATCCTTGTCTTTAATTCTGTCACGTGAACGGGGATTATCCCTCCCTCGGAGGTGGGTTGCAGATCCAAAGAGAGTCCTTTTGTTACCCTTTGAAAGTAGTTAAGCTGTCTACAGCATGGGATGCAAGCTGTCTGATTTTTTTTTTAAGATTTATTTAGATATTTCAGAGCAAGAGCATGGTAGAAGGGGCAGAGAGAGAGAATCTCAAGCAGACTCTCCACTGAGGGTGGAGCCCAGTGCAGGGCTTGATCTCACAACCCTGAGATCCTGATCTGAGTCAAAATCAAGAGTCAGACACTTAACCCACTGAGCCACCCAGGCGCTCCCCCACCCCCATCCCGCCCAAGCTCTCTGGTTTTAATCCTCACAGCGACTGTGAGGTAGCATTGACAAGCCCATTTTACAGAAGGAAATCTGAAATCATAAAATTTTCACACGCTCACTTAAGGACACGAAACCATTTCCAGATTTAAATCTCTGTCTCCAACCATAATGCCACTGGCACACAGTATGTCCCTTCACTCTCTGGCCACAGATACTTTAGGATAAGCTTCCCAACTCATTCCAGTCTCATGGCTCTCCTGTCCTCCCTCAGCTCCAGAGAGAACTTTCTAATCAGATTAGCCCACCTCCCAGCTAAAAATCCCCACATAGGTTTCTGTTGCCTGTACGTTCCTACCTGCTGAGGGTCTTTAGATACGTTCCTTGTAGCCTATGAGCTTCCCAAAATTGTAAGTAAATTCAATGTGCATTTTTATGAGTGCCAGTCTCTGCCAAAAGGAAATTGAGTTGCCTGTGGTCTCATACAAGGTTTAGAGGCCCTGGCCCATAGAGAAGCCCTAAGCACCCAGTATGGCATGGCAATTGTTAGCTGGCCCTTCCTTTCTCTTGCTTCTTTAGTCCTAAACGCAGAACCACTTGCATTGTTCCCCACTCACATCAAATTGTGACCCACCTTCAGCCTTTTGCTCCTTTCAAAGCTCCCACTTGTCTTGGGTTACCCTGTTCCAGGGCTTTGCTAGTATCCAGCAAATCTTTATCACTTGAATTCACTGTATTTGAAAAGTTGTGTTTCATAGATTGCAGAAGTCAAATTACACGCTGTAAAAGAAACACAAACTTAGAAATTAAAAGGCCCCTAGAATTCCAAACCCAGAGATGATCCCCTTTAACACGAGAGTCTGTGTCCTCTCAGACTTTTTTTTTCCTACTTGTATATAGAACTGTAGATAATTAAACTGCACCTACTTTTCAAAAATGAATGGGACCATCAGTTAAGATTCTTATTCTATCTCTAGATCTGTTCCTTCAATAGCATGGCTATGTCATTTTCTCATACTTGAGCAGATAGATTTATAATATACTCTTTAAATGTGTTCACATTCTATTGTATGTATCTAGCATTGTCCAGTTAAGTGACCTCTTACCCATGGAACAATAGTTACACTGTTACTTTTGGTTCTTCCTTTTTCCAAATATAGTTTCTGTGACTAGCCTTGGTTATAAAATTTTATGATTATTTCTGCAAAAATTTCCTAGAAGTGGATAACATGTGTGCCATTGAAAGTTTAATATTGCTAGCAAATCACTCGTCCAGTATTCAAATGTTATTTGCACTTTAGAGGAGGCCTTAAGATTTAACACTTAATGTTTATTGAATAAATGAAGCTAGGGTGGGCTCTTTTGCTGGGCTTATCATGAGTAGCCCTGCCCTGATCTTTTTGGGCATCAAATTTCTTTATCTCACTATGAATAAGAGATTGTGGCATGCAGCTCTCTATTTTTTGTATTTGTCACCAGCTACATGCCATAGTTTATTCACTGTGTCCATTGTCCAGTCCAAGTTGTTCAACAATGAAATAGAATCCCAGGGTATGATTATGAACCAACATAAAAAACTCTTGTCATTTTGGCCTTCTTTTGTCTGTACTCCCAACTTTCTATCCATTTTTTAAAACCTTAAAAAAAAAAAAAGGAAAATAAATACGGTGAAAAGTTCAAGTAGGTGCCGGTTAACAGCTTCACATATGTTTAGATAGCATTTTATGCCTCAGACATCACACAGATAATTAATAGGCATCTTGGAGTGATTGAAATAAATGTGGGTAGTAAGAATGAAACGTTTGTACAGGGATTTATACTTTACAGGATTTTCACATCCAAGAACTCATTTTCTGGAGTGAGGATAGCAGGTGAATGAATATGCAGCTTCAGGTTTTGTTGAATTGATTCTTGTAAACTGTTCATGAAAGGAAAAACTCTTGATTGGCAGCTTAAGAGTACATAAACATTCTCACAATCTCAGCTCTCCACGTCAGCCATTGTGGATGCCCTTTCTTAACTTTTTGAACATTTTTCTCTTACAAACCCTCTGATTAAATGTGGGGATATGATATTGGAAACGGCCAAAGTTACAATATAGGCAAAGGAAAATAAAATAATAGAGTCCCTTTTATTTCCATAGTGCAAAGCTATTTTACATCTGGCCTTCCTTCTTTCTCTACATACTTCGGATTCTTGGTTGAACATCTCAAGTAATCTTTCGCTGATATTTTGGTTCTCTGAGATTGCTATAATTCTGGCTCACCCACCTATTTAAACACCAACCTAGTAGCAGTACTATTGATGTACCTTCCCCATTTGGTATGTGGCTGTTTGTAGTACTAGGGGAAGAACACAGGGTCATTCACTTTCTGCACCCCTATATTCCATAAGATCCATCTCGTCTCACATCTCAAGCTTTATATGTGGTACAGAAATATTCCACTGCCAGGAGCTCCTTATGCCATTTGGCCTTTTTCTTTCCTGAATGTAAAAAAACTTCTACCATAAGTTTCCTGCTCTTTTGCTGAGTAAGTCCTAGTCTGTCTCTCCTCTTGAATTCTTCCTTTCAAGCTACAGGAGAGGTCCCTTATGTACCATGGTTATGTACTTTCTGTAGTTGCTTTATCCTTGATTATTAATGTGCCTGAATCTCTCATTTGTCCATAAACTCCTTAAAGTTGGGGGGGGGGGGGGACTCATTTATTCATCTTGTTTTTATAAATATACAAGTGGTACATAGTAACTGCTTAGCAATTTTTGAATGACATGAATTCCTACTGTTGTAAACATGGATTTCTAAAGCCCAGTAGAGGACTCATCTTGATAAGACAAGTGGACCCTGTAAAATGGTATGTCCCAGGTCAGACACTGAGGAACTGATAAAACTGATCATAATGAAACCCGGATTTCTTAGTAGTCGTGTCCAATACTTTTTCCTCTCTAATGAAAACACTATTTGACTGTCTTGAGTGTCTAGATTGCATTTAAAGAACTATATGTTCTTTGCCTTTCAGGGTGGACAAACAGGGTCCATGGGGCCTCCAGCTGTTCCCCCATCATTCCGCCCTGAAGATGAGCTTGAACACCTGACCAAGAAGATGCTGTATGATATGGAAAATCCACCTGCTGATGAATACTTTGGTGAGTGGGGACTAGAGATGACTTCTGAAGTAAATGCCTTCTGTTTTTCTTAGTTATTAATTAGGAGCTTATCAGCTCCGCTGGCAGGGGTTTGAGTCTAGACACACTGGAATTGATATGTATCTGCACACAACTGAGTATTCTGGAAATTGCTCTGTGAGCTTGCCTTAAGTGTGATCTCTGTTGCACTTTTAGCAAGGGTACTGTACAGTTTCTTGAGATACAAATTCAATTTTAAAATGAATTTTGTCATCATATAAGCTTCTCCATAAGCAGAAATAGGGCTTCTGTATAGGTTCAGGTTCCTTACTGGTCTAAATATTTATATACAGAATATGGAATTGGATAGTATACAATTTCTGCACTCTCAATTCTTTACCTACGCAAATTTAGGAAAAGATGTTCCTATTGTGTTTTTTCAACCTTCTCCCCTCTCCAAATCTGTAAATAATTATGAATGGTTATACCATCCAGTCCATTAGTGTAATGGGTGTTTATGAACTTTAGGCCAATTATGAGGTGTTATGGATACATAACCTGTCCTCAGGGAGGTTGTAATTATTCAGGAGACATAAGGAAAATACATAAATAATTACTAATCTTGGTAGAAAGCCGTAAGAGGCATAAGAGAGGGATGTGTGAGATACTATAAAATGTTCGAGCTCTATTCATCAGAAGCATCGGGAATCCCTTACAAAGGAACTGGTGGTACCTGAACGTGGATGTTTCAAGGCAGTGCCTCCCAGATTTTCTGTGATGACAACTATTTCCTCCTCAATCTGTTGGAGACTGATATTTGTCTAGAGCACAATTGAAATTACTTACTTAAGACATTGAAATCAAAAGAATACAAAATGGAAGGCCAAGTTTTACCATTATGAGATTTAACAGGAATAAATTACTCTATCAAAGTGTTATATCATTTCCTAAATACTCACGCTATGTTTTTGTCCTGTCTCATTGTGAGGTGATAAACATTTTTTTAGACACCCATCCATGGACCACAGTTTGAGTAGCATCACTTTAAGGACATGTAGAGAAAAGAGACTACATTTTGGGGGGGCAGCAGGAGCAAAGGCATAGAGGCAAATACATCACACAGGGCTTTTACTTCTTTAGACATTTACTATCTTCATGTTTTCCCCTTGCTCCCTATTGGGAATGGGTAATAGCAGGTGAACTGAGGCACTGGTCCAAAGCTATGCCATAGATGGAATGGGATAGGGCATGAAAAACATGGTATTGATTTGTATATAGATACAGGTCAGCTGTGGGAATAAAGAATTTTGGTTCTGGTCCTTTCTGTACCCTTGACTAGCTAGGCAGTATTGAAATATTCCCCATCTGCCTGAGCCCCATTTCCCACCTTGGTAAGTCAAAAGTGTGGAGCAAATGTTTCCTAGAATTTCTTTCGACACAAGTAAGTTCCCATAGAAACAGCGTTAATCCAAAGAAATACAACAAAGCTAAAAGCTAAACATAAATTGATAGGACAAATGCATGGAGAATATTTTTAAGAAGTCTCTAGTTATATTAAAGTATACTAAAAGTGTATCATGCTCTTGTTACTGATGTGGTAAAAAGCTTTATATTGGAATCTTAGGTAAACTTTTTAGAAGAGCGTGTTAAGAGCAAAAACTAAGGTTACTGTATATGTAGATTATCTGTATACTGTATATGTATATTTTAAAAATAAAAAGCAAACTAGCATAACAAGTATATATGCCTCAAATATCATAGCAACTAAATACACGGCAATAAAGAAAATTGAACATAGATAGTAATTGTGTTAATGAATATGTATTAAGCCTTCTGGGAAACAAACATAAATTTCATCTTTGCCTTCAAGAACTATCCTAGCTATGATACTTACTAGCTTAGACAACTTGAACAACTTACTTATGCTCTCTCAATCTTTGTTTTTGTTTCACTTTATCTGTAGTATGGAAATAATCGCTAGCTCATACTGTTATTTTAGTATTGAGTGAAATATTTATAGAAAGCACTTAGACAAGTTCTTGGCATATAGAATATCCTCAATAATCAAAGTTATCCCATGCTTTATTTAAGAAAATAAGATATGCCCATTAAAAATCCATTAATATTACCTGATTTAAATTTAAGTTCCTTGCAAAAATAGAACATATGTCACCAATTGGTAAATAATCATTGCCAAATAAGGATTATGAACCATGAGAGAGAATGTGAAATAATGATTAACTTTTATTGAGTGCTTACGATATGGCATCACTATTTTATGTACTTTATAGGAATTAACTCATTTCATCCTTATAGAAAATATATAACCCTGTAAATGCTATTATTATTTCCATATTAGGAAATTGAAGCACTGAAATGTTAAGTAATCTGCTCAATATCAACAGCTAATGAATTGCAGAACTTGATTAGAATCCACACTCCACTCTATACTTATTTTTTCTTCTAAAAACCTTTTCCCTGGCTTTATTGAGATGTACAAAAAACAGCTGCATATAAACAGTGTCCCTAACATAGTGGGTTTAGACATGTGTATACATTTGTATTGCTGCCACCACAATCCAGGTAATAAACATATCCATCACCTCCAAAAGTTTAGGCTGGATAATTATGGAGGAGATCGGCTTTGGATACACAGAAAATAGAAGGTTATTCTCTTCTGAGTAGATAGAATGAACAAAATTTGAGTTGAGGCCAGAATTATTTAAGGAAAATTTACTTTAGGTGGAAAATATTCACCAAGTGCTTATAATATACAAGCTATTCTGTTAAGTAGCGTGAGGCATAGAGATAGGCAGACATGGATCTTACCTTTAAAGGTGACTATAGTCTATAGAGAATGTAGACAGAGTGATGATGCTTAATCCTAACACAAGACTGAAAGTGACAAGTGACTTAATCGAAGTGCAGCCAAAGTTCTTTGAGAATTCGGAAAAATGAGACTAGACATCCCCAGGCAGGAATGGAAACATGTTTATGGAATGGTTAGCCTTTGAGTTACATCTTTAAAAGTATGCTAATAAGAGATTTGGAAGAGAGATAATAGTACAGAAGCAATGTCATTTCTGAGGAGGGAAATTTTAACATGATACAGAATAAAGTCATTAGAGTGAATCACCAATGTAGAAAGGAACAAATAATGAGAAATAGCGTTGGGGAAGAAGGCAGGAGTCCTGATTAGATTCTGGATGTAAAAAAACAACAACAACTCTTAAATATTTGGGGCAAGTTTAGAAAAGTTTGAATATGAATGTGGCAGTGGCATTGTGGTTACACGAAACAATATCCTTGTTTTTGGAACAACGTATTGAAGTATTTAGGGTGACGTGTCATGGTGTCTGCAACTTACTTTGAAACAGTCTAGACAGATGATACATCAATCAATAGATCTACACATATAGCTAAGATGATATAGATAGATAAGATATTGTGAGGAAGGCAGTATCACTTTAGATTAAAACAGCTAGAAATGCCATTACTAGGACACCCTTCTTCCCCCAAAATGTATTGAAGCTTAGCAAGTGAATTATTTTAAGACTCCTTTCTTGGGTGGGAGAAGTAGAGAGAGTTACATTCCTGTGTCTTCTAAACTCGAATATTTTATTTTATTTTTTTAACGATTTTATTTATTTATTCATGACAGAGAGAGAGAGAGAGGCAGAGACACAGGCAGAGGGAGAGGGAGAGAGAAGCAGGCTCCATGCAGGGAGCCCAACGCGGGACACAATCCTGGGTCTCCAGGATCACACCCCGGGCTGAAGGTGGCACCAAACCGCTGGGCCACCGGGGCTGCCCTAAACTTGAATATTTTAATGATTATAGTGGATCTTTGATATTTCCCCCTCTTGTGTATGTTTTCTTGTTTTCTACTGGATGCATACCTTTTCTTCTGCTGATGAGATGATAGTCATTAGGGTGGCGATGATGGGAACTGATATTTATCTAAAGCTCTATTCAGAGTCATAGTCTGACTGACAGGTCTGGTGATGATATCTTCATTCTTTAGGTCAGGAAACAGTCAGAGAAGCTGAATGAGTTATTCAAGGTTACATAGCTAATAGGATTCAGGAATTGGACTCCTTCTTCTCATCTCAAGTCCATACTGATTCATTACCATTATGGAAAGGCATACATTGTTCCTAGAGCTTGTCACTAGTTGGCTGTTCCGCCTCATGTCATCCTTTACCTCCCAATGTCATGATCTTCAAGTAAGAGACCATATGTGCCCAGGGCCATAAGTTGTGTAGCTGGAACTTCAGTGTCACTGGCAATATATCTTAACTCTGTATAATGCCTGAATTAACTGCTGTGGCACTAAGCATGGCCTTTTGGCCATGGTTACATACTTAAACACAGGACACCCAGTGCCTTCCTATCAACTCTGTTAGCTGACTTGTCCTTCTGTTGACCTCAAGGAGAGGCAAATTGCTGATAACTACAGCACATCTTGTTTTCTTAAGCCAATCCTTGATAAATATTGCAAGCAGGAACCTTCAACGAGTCTCAGACGGGTATTTTTTTTTTTACGGTTTCATCCAAAAAAGTGTTAGTTTTAGTGTTTCAATGCTCTCTCTCTTCCATCTTCCTCAAAATCAGGGATTGTTGTATGACAGTATAGGCCACAAGGAATGAACCCATAACACGGCAGATGGGTAAGTCCATATCTTAATTAAAGGAGAAACAAAAGTCTCTCATGCTGTGAACACTTTCCATCTACTTAGACTTATGTGATTGAGCTATAGGAGATTCCCCAAGTATTTTTTTCCATGAGCAGTGGAGTCGTTGAGTGGGCCTCGAAACACTACCCTATAAGGAAAAGAAAGGAAACAAGGAAATGAGATGTAGAAAATTCTCATCTGCTTCAATAACCAGGCAGTGGTCTTTGGCCCAAATCATTTGCAGCAAGGCTTGCATTTTAGAGCAACCTGTTTCCCTGGGCAACTAGAAAAGTATGTTTATACTAAAGGAGATTCTCAGTGTCAGGGATAGATGTATAGGAAGAA